GGGCGGGTTCGAACCTGTAGTGACCCCTCTTGGTTTTCTGGAGGGGGGGGTTCGAACTGGTAGTGACCCCCCCCCCGGCTTCTGGGACGGGGGGGGGGTTAGGGAGGGGGGGAGGGGGGGGGGAGGGGGGGGACCCCCGGGTTCCGGAGGAAGAGGGGTGGAATGTTCCAAAGTAAAGCTGCGGCGGATCACGCTCTCTCCAAGATCCAGGTGCCTTGGTACGAGTGACTTCCAGCCGCTGCCAGTTCGTGTTTCCCCATGGGGTTGCCTTGTTTTTTGCGTTTGTTCTGTGTGTGTTTTCTGTTGTTGTTTAGTGCTCTCTTTGTTGTGTCTTTCTTTTTCTCTCTCTCTCTCTCACTCTACCTTGTGGGTGAAAAGAATCGGGCTTTCGCTGAACGAGGTGGCGGGGATGTCCGATACACTCTCGTCCCATGAGTGTGCGCATCCTCGGTAAAGGGTCGACGTCGTCGCGCACCAAACATTTGAGGAGAAAAGAGGCGCTTCCGTGTAGGAGGACTGGAGTGAGGGCCCTGTCCGTAGAAATTTCGGCCCGAGTGTGGCACTCGTTAGAATCGTCCCGCAGGTTTTGTCACGCGAAGGCAACAGGCTCAGCGAGCTGCTGGTTGATATCACTTGCGAGGGCCTGCAGAAATACATTAGGAATATGATCCGAACGTTGTCTGCCGCTAGACCTTGGATGCGGGCTCCCCGGGCGAGTAGTTCAATCAATCAGGCCTCTTCTTGCCCGTCTCTCATTTTGCGATCCACACCCGCGGAGCAGAAGTCTACCGTCAGCGTCCTGCATGCCAGTGGCGGCGTTGTTGCATCATTGATGGCCTTGTTCGGTCTCGGTGACGGCAGTGCGGCAAAGGAGGCGGGGCTCAGGTTTTTGGACGAGAACAGGACTAAAGAAGGGGTGAACGTGACCCCCAGTGGCCTTCAGTACAAGGTCCTACGAGCAGGGGGTGGAAAAGCTCACCCTCTTCTCAGCACGCCTTGCGCGTGTCACTACGAGGGGAGGCTTACCAATGGAAAGAAGTTCGACTCTTCCTACGACCGCGGCTCCCCCACAACTTTTGCGCCCAACCAAGTGATCCCAGGCTGGACCGAGGCGATGCAAATGATGGTGGAGGGGGACCTTTGGGAGTTGTACATCCCGTCTGAGCTGGCTTACGGCGATTTTGGCGCGGGTGGATTGATACCTGGCGGTGCTGCTCTGGTTTTCAAAATGGAGATTGTCAAAATCAACGGCGCCTCGCGCCCCAAGGCGTGAGCGGTGATTCGGTTACCACCGCTGTCGTGCTGCGGATGGACCAGCGCCTGGCAGGAAGCATGCAATCGCTGTCTATCATGCGCGTTGCCATCGAGCTTGCAGCCTTCAAATAATCGTAGACGCCCGGTGACGAGCAACATGTGGTGTACAATCAAGACGCTGACATAAGGACCACTTCGGATTCAGGAGGGGCTATGATCTGGGGGGCCTTTCCTTAGACTTCCTCATCCAGCGTTCCTTACGGTAGCACGACGACTGTAAGCCGTTGCTGCAGAGGGGCACGGTCAGGAAATTTGGATTAGCGTGTCGCTCCGCCGATTCTGGCCACCACGCCTCGGCGCGACACGCGAAAGACTTCCGGGCCCCGCAGCGTCAACGTCCCGAGCCTCTCCCAGCCTCCCGCCGCGTGGAGCTGAGCGACACGCTGTCCGCTCGCAGGGCATAGCGTTTCGCCGGGGCCGCCGGTGCGACACGCTATGCACATGGTCTTGACCATAGTCATGGGGCAGTTTCATGGGGTTCGCACACCACACGCCGCTCAACACATACGGGCAACGGCAGAAATATCGGCCCTAGTCCATCGTCGTCGTGATGCCAGATCTGTGGCCCCAGAGGGGCCTGACCGCCTGGCGAATTTCGCTTTCGCCGCTCCGAAACGCCGCCAGCGCTAGGCACGTTCGTCACCGGGGAAGGAGGACGAGAAGGGCGAGGGCGGCGACGACGCCAACGCCGACGCTGACACCGACGCCGACGCCGACACCGCCGCCGCTGACGACGACGACGACGACAACGAGGACGTCGACGACGACCACGGCCACGACTAAGACGACGACGACGACGACGACGACGACGACGAACCGCCGCCTCCCCTGCGCTCACGTATATTCCAAGGTGTTTCCAGTAATTAAGCGACCTGCAGGCAGTCCCCTTTGCGACAGCCCAGTGTTAGCGGACGAAGAACGGCATACCATCCGTTTTCCCGCCGTCGGGGACGCATGCGCCAGGACGACGCCGCCAACGACGATGATGACGACAGCGAAAATTTCTGACGACGACGAGGACATTGACGACAGCCACAACGACGATGACGATGGAGACGACGACGACGACAGCGACAGCGACAGCGACGACGACGACGACGGCGACGGCGGCGACGACGACGACAGCGACGATTGTGACGACGATGACGAAGATAACGACGACGACGGTGACAGCGACGGTGACAGCGACGACGACGACGCTGACAGTGACAACGACAACGGCGACGGCGACGACGACGACAGCAACGACGACGACGATGACAGCGATGGCGATGACGACGACCACAGCGACGGCGACGACGACAGCGACGACGACCACGACGACGACGACCACGACGGCGACGACGACGAAGGTAGCCACAGCGACGACGGCGACGACGTCGTTGACGATGACGACAGCGACGACGACAACGACGACAGCGACGACAGCGACGGTGACGACGACGATGATAGCGACGACGACCATGACGACGACCACGACGACGACGACGATGGCGACGACGACGGCGACGTCGACGACGACAACAGCGACGACGACGATGACGGTGACGACGACGATGACGACGATGACAGTGGCGACGACGGCGACAGCGACGACAGCGACGACGACGATGGCCACAGCGACGACGACCACGGCGACGACCACGACGACGACGACCACCGCGACGACGACGACGACAGCGACGACGACGACGACAGCGACGACAGCGACGACGCTGACAGTGACAGCGGCAACGTCGACGGCGTCGACGACGACGGCGACGACGACGACGACTGCGATCGCGACGACGACGGCGGTGACGACGACGACGACAGCGACGACGACGATGACGACTACAGCGACGACGACAGTGACGACAGTGACGACAGTGACGACGATGACCACAGAAGCGACGATCGCAGCGACGACTTCGACCACGACGACGACGACGACCGTGACAGCGACGTCGGCGACGACGACGACGACGACGATGACGGTGACAGCGACGACGATGACGAAGTTGATAGTGACGACGACGACGACGACGACGGCCACCACGACGACGACCACTATGACGACAACGACGACAGCGGCGACGATGACCACAGCGACAGCAACGACGGCCTCAGCAACGACAGTGACGACAGCGACGACAGCGACGACGACGACGGCGACGATGACGACGACGACCATGATGACGACCACGACGACGACGACATCGACGACGACGATTTCAGCGACGACGACGGCGACAGTGACGACGACGACGACAACGACGACAGCGACGACGACGATGACGACAGCGACGAGGACGACGACGACCACGACGACGACGACAACAGCGACGACGACGACGACGACGTCGACAACGACGACGACGACGACAGTTGCCACGACGACGACGACGACTACAGCGACGATGACGACGACGACAGCGACTACAGCGACGATGACGACGACGACAACGACAGCGTCGACGACGACGACGTTGACAGCGACAGTGACAGCGACGCGTAAGTTTGGACTGTCGGCGTGGTCCGCGGCCCATAGTCGCAGTGCAGGGCGATCTCGTCATCGAGCAGTGTGCTCCAGCCACTGCCTGGCACAGCATCCCCATGCCGCCCGGCCGTGCGCCCCAGAGTTCCACCCCAAGTGCAGCCCAGATGGACCGCCCCAGTGACCGTGCGAAGAGCGGGCAAGAAGGCCTGGACACGCGCACTATCACCATCCCCTGGGCTTGTTGCTGTTGATGGCGACACGGTGCCTGTGCCGTTGACGCCCTCGGCCGAAGGCAAAGACAGTGGTTGGAGGTGTGGAAGAATCCAGCCACGCATCCCCTGGGCCGTGCACTTGCCCCGCAGCGCCCCCGCACTGCAGTCTGTGCGGAGCGCCTCGGTGATCTCGCGAAGAGCGCCTGGGCCGGGGCTCCCTCCCGCGAGAGAGCCGGCCTCGGGGACCCCTCCCGTGGTGTGCTCTGCCCAGAAAATTGCGGAGGGGAGCCGGGCCGTGGCGACGGAGGAGCCCTCCGAGCGGCTCGAGAGGGCCGAAACATGCTCACAGCCTGTGTCGTGGATCCCCGAACCCCATGGGGAAGCCTGCTCTCCTCCGTCTCCTCCACTTCCCAGCATTGTTCTCCTCCTCGCCTCCTCCCCCCCCTCTCTCCTCCCTCCTCCGCTTCTTCTTCTTCTTCCTCTTCTTCCTTTTCTTCTTCCTCTTCTTCTTTTTCTTCATTTTCGTCCCCAATGGGGCCTGAGCAGATGGGGTCGGGCCCCATTTGAGCGGCTCCCCCTCCCCTCTCCTCGTTGGGCTCGGGGCCGGCAGCAAGGCGACCCGCCGCGCGCAGGTTCTGCTCCGGGGGCACGGCCGGGAAGAGGAACGTGCCCCTGTTCGAGGTGTGGGGGAACTGGCAATGACAAAAACATAAACTCGGAGGTCCGCGCGGGTTTCTCGTATCGGCGCTGGACACCCCCCTTTCTGGCGCGCGGAGCGCGCCAGGGGCGGCACCGGAGGCGCCTCCAGGGGGGACCCAGTGCCGATCCGAGGGACTCCGCGCGGACCTCTGAGTTTTTCTGTCCGTCCTCGATCCGAGGAAGTCCGCGCGGACCCCCTGCCTTTGTCCTGTCCGGCGCCGCTCTGAGGAGAAGTCCGCGCGGACCCCAGAGCCTGCTTTACGTTGTGCTCATGTCTCGCGGCTCGTGCCCCCAAGGCGGCCGCTTCCGAGGAGAACGTCCGGGTGTTCATGGACATCCAGATCGGGGGCCGGGAGGCCCCTGGCCGCCGACCGACCTGGGCCAGGGGGGGAAGAACACAGACAGACACGAGCAATCGTCGATTCCCTGGAAAAACTGTGGAAACATGTGGGACGTGGGGGAAGAGGTTTTTTCCCAAAGCAATCCTCGCGGCCATGCTTGGTTAATTTTTCCTCTGGTGTGATGTTGTCTGATCACAACGAAAACTGCCTGGTTAATATATCCACGGGTCTGATGTGATCCTGGGTCCTGGACGTGGGGGAGGAGGCGAAGATCCCCTCCAGAAAACAAGAATAGAGAACATGAAGAATCCTGGGATTTGCGTGTATTTGGTTGTGCCCCTGGGCCCCTTCGCTCGGCCTCCCGAGCTGGCCGAGTCGGGGCGTTGGGAGGCCCTGGCCCTCGGGAGGCCCCATCGGCCCTCGGGCGGGCCTCGCGGGGAGGCCCTCGGGAGGCCCCTGCACGGTTGGGCTCTCGTGAGGTGTGTCGAGGCGCGGCCTTTCGGAGGCCCTGGGGCAACCAGGGCCGCTTCGTCCCCTCCCTCTCGGTATCGGAAGCCCTCGTCGCCACCGCCGGATTCGCCTCGAGATTCTGGCCAGAACGTACCCCGGGAGAGGTCTGGGGGGTTGCGTTGTATTGGTACCTTTGTCTCCCCAGCATTGCCACAAGAGGGGTCGCTCACTCGTCCTCTCCTCCTTCCTGCGTCCTCCCTTTTGTTTCATCATCTGCCCCCCTGTAAAGTGCACACGTGCATGCTCTCATTCATCAGTATCGTTTAACCGAACCCCATCCCCATCCCCATCCCTTTCGAGACCCCCCACCAAATTACCACCCTAGTTGGGGATACAGCTCTCCAAACCCGAAGAGAACGGCCTATATCCCCATCTAAGGGGGTAAATCGGCCAGCGGGGCCCAGGCCACGCCGCTGGGGATGGGGATCGGTGAAATGATACTCACCCTCCGCCATCCGCGAGGCAATCTCGGGCCATCTCATCGTGAGCAACCTCGGACGCTCCCACTCTGGCGACCCACCCTGGACTGGACCGCGGGAGTCTGGGGAATGCGGGTCACCGAAAGCCTCACCGAAGGGGACGAAAGGGTTGGTTGGAGAGGTCTGGCATGCGAAACGATTTGAAAGGTCAGGCATGCCAATATCGTAGCCGTTGTTGTTCAGTCTCTATTGGCTCATGTGTTTTGAGACTGCGTCTGCAGCGAATCCAGCTCTTTAGAGCACGCTACTCATTCTGTACCAGAGACGCTCGTTCAGACATGATGTTTAAGCTGACCGTGACAATTGCAGAATTGGCCTGGTTTTCCGATGGCCTCCTCAATCCTGAGATGTTGCTAGCTATCGACCATCCGAAACTCGTGCCTGGGCAGGGGAAGCTGACATGTTCTTCTTTTCCAGAGCGGTCTTGTGAGACGGACCCCCTCCACACGCTCCCCGACTTATGGAATTACCAGCTTACGTCGCTCGAAGGCCTTTACAACAACATTTGCGAGCATTTCCACGATCGGTTCAATGAAGTTTCAGGCAAGTTCGACTTATCCTTATTGGACGATGGCACAGATGTATCTGGCAACATGCTGACACGCCTGGGTAATTGTATATCTGGCCCGCTTCACGGAATAAACATTCCTGGCTCTCATGTCGAAAATGCTAAGAATCACGGGAACACGAACATAACATTCAGTGTTGGCGATGGACAGCGCTTGGATTTTGAAGAGAACACGTTTGACGTACTTATGTCAAGTTACATCATGGAGCATGTCCCATCGCCAGACATGTATTTTCGTAATGTACACAAGGTCTTAAAGGTAGGTGGTCTGGCACTTGTGGCATGGGGTCCGTCGTGGATGTCGAGGAAAGGACACCACATCCATGAAGATATGGTTGAAACGTGGGCACGAGAGAAGGGCGTCCGCTTCACTTACCGCAACGATGCTTCCATAATCCCAGACTGGTCCCATCTTGTATGGAACAAGACAGAAATGGTGAAGTATCGTAGACGCCTGCTGCGAATCACCGCCGCCCCCCGCCTTTCGGAAGCGCCGTTGTGTTCCGAACGTTGTTCCCCCCAGCCGTCGTTGGAACCCTTCGGGGATCGCGTGGGGGATAGATGTGAAGAGTACTAATATTAGTCATACTGGTACTATTCATGATACGATTGATACTAGTACGAACCATGAGACTGAACAAGAAGAGGAGGAGGGAGAGGAAACAGGATGATGATGATGATGATGATGAGGAGGAGGAGGAAGAGAAGGATGAGAAGGAGGAGGAGGAGAAGGAGGAGGAAGAGGAGAAGGAGGAGGACGAGGAGGAGGGAGGAGGAGGAGGCCTCCTGGGAGCCTTTTGGGGCACTCTTGGGGTCTCGGGGGAGCGTCCTGGGGGCCTCTTGGAGGCCTCTCGGGGGCTTCCTTGTGCCGGTTGGGGGCATCTGGAATCTCCTTGGGCGGCCCTTTGGCAGCCTGGGGGCGTTCTTGGCCCGTCTGACGCCGTGGGAAGCCGTCTTGCGGGCATCTCTGGGCCGACGTGGGGCCCTCTTGGGGCTCTTCAGGGCTGCCCTGGACACCATCTTGGGCGTCTTGGAGGTCTCCTGGGCCGTCTCGCGGCTCTCCTGGGGCCGTCCTTGGGGGCCCTCTTGGGGCCGGCAGGGGGGCACCTCGGAGGCCTTCTGGGTGCTCTCGGAGCCATCTTGGTGGCCCCTGGGGCCGTCGGACAGCCGAAGATGAGAAAGCGACAGGATCTGTCAACCACCGACGGGCTAACGATGATTTCGTTTGGCCTTCCTTAGGAGAACGAGCAATGACATAAACATGAAAACTCGGAGGTCCGCGCGGATTTCTCGGATCGGCGCCGGGGCCCCCCGGCGGCGCCTTTGGCGACGCCCCTGGCGCGCTCCGCGCGCCAGGGAGGGGGGTCCAGCGCGGATCCGAGGAATCCGCGCGGACTTCCGAGTTTTTATGTTTATGTCTTTTTTTGTTCCCCTATTCCTGGAGCCTCCTGGGCCGTCTTGGACAATATTGAGGCCATCTTGGGCCATCTCTTGGGGACCTCTTGCTGGGGGCCGCTCGGGGGCCTCTTGGCCTTCGGAGGCCGTCTTGGGCCCTTCGTGGGCAGTCGTGGGTCCCTCGTTGGGCGCCTTGGGGCCGACTTGGAGGTCTCCTAGGCCGTCTTTGGCGCATCTCAGGCTGTCGTGGGGCCCTCTTGTTCCGTCTTGCGGGCCCCTTGGGGGCCTCTTGGATCCGTAGTGGAGCGTCGGAAACCCGAAAAGGTGAGCACTCTAAACTCATGGAGCAACCTCAGGAACATGAATAGTTTTGGCCTATTTAGGTCCTTCTGGGACCTCTTGAGGACCTCTTGGAGGCCGCCTTAGGCCCTCAATGGGCAGTCGTGTGTCCCTAAGCGCCGTCTTGGAGGTCTCTGGGGCCGTCTTGCGGCGATCTTGGGGGCCTTTGGGCCCGTCCTGGAGCGTCGGAAGCTCGAAAAGGCGAGAGTGTTAAAACCATTGTAAGCCTAAGAAGCATGTTTGGTTTGGGCCCCCCCTGGAAGCCCTTTGGGGCTGTTTTGGGCTATCTTGGAGCCATACTGGGCCGTCTTGGTGGCTTCTTGGTCGGGCTTGGAGGCCATTTTGGGACATCTTGTCCGTCTTGGAGGCCATCCAGGAGCAGCCTTTGGCGGGAAAAGCCACAACAGGCAGATTTTCTGGGTGGCCGGCGGGTTGGGCTGAGACCCCATGGAGAGTTCTTTAGACAAGAACAACAATTATCCAAAAGTTTGGCAGGTTGTGCGCTGTGAAGAATCACCAGGGGGCGGCAGACGACGGAAAGCGCGCGTAGCGCTGCGATCCGTTAGCAGGGGGAAATAACATGGGGGAGTGTAGCGTCGCCATCCGTTAGTCGGATAAATCCCAAGGGGGAGTGTGACAGGGCTGGCCACTGGTGACCCAGATTTCATGGCATAATTTTCGGCCATGTTCGGCCCCAGACGGCCCAGGTCAGCCCCAAGAGCGCTTCAGAGGGCCCCAAGACGGCCCAAGAGTGCCTTCAGGGCCCGGAGACGGCCCGAGAGCGCTAAAATATGGCTCAGGATGGCTCTCAGACGCTCCACGAGGTCTCCAAAAGGACGCCCCAGAGGCAGACATCGTCCCACTCCCTTGGGGAAAAGTGGATTTTTAGCTTATCTGCTCCCTTGGTCTTCACAGGGTTCACAATGGCCCAACAGGAACCCAGGATTGGCCCAACATGCACAACAGGCCCTCAAGGACGGACCCGAGACGGCTCCAAGACGGCCACGGAGAGCTCCGCGACGGCCCACGAGAGGCCCCTAAGGACACGAAAATATGCCCAAGAGAGCCCCAAGATGGCATTAGGAGGTCCCCAAGAAGGCCCCAGAGGGCCCCGAGAGGGCCCCAAGGCCCAAGCACCCCAAGACGGCCCAACAGGGCCCCAGGACGACTCGAAAGGGCCTCAGGGCAGTCCGAAGGACCCCCAAGAAGGTCTGGAGAAGCCATATTCATTGATTTGTGCAAGGTTGGTGGTGTCTTTTTTTGGTATGACGCACGCGACACTGAGCAAGGCGATCTCGCACCCTCACAGAAAGTACGAGCGCTTTCCGTCCCCGTGCCAAGCAAGTGACTGAAAGAGCTAAACACGAGTTCTGGTGGGGCGAAGTTCTCCAGGTGTTAAGTCCGGCATGTCCCTCTACAGGTGGAATGTCCAAAAATAGTCCAACAAACAAGTCAGGGGACGATGTTTCTACTATCTCTGGCTACTTTCGACGACTTGTCTGACAATTTCCATTTTTCGTCAAACATCCGCCTGCAGGAGGACATGTCCGACCCAACTCTAGAAGCGTGTTTCTAATGTTGAAGGACGTGCCGCTCGGCCGAAGGGCAGCCTCCTCGTGGGAGGAGGCTGCCCTGTGGTCGTGCGGCTCTCCTCCTGATCTTCTTGAATTCGAGCCCGCATCTCCCGCCGCTGCGGGCTAGCCTCCTCGGTCGAACCAAGGATT